CCCTTAGTTCCTTTCAAAGCTAAACAACCTACTTATTTGTTTCATTAAGGTTTCTATGGGCTCCGGTGATGCTGTTGAGGAGGACACAGTTGCAGCCCCCAGCTTTCATGAATCATTTGCTTACAATGCGCTCCCTCCATTCATAACCAAGAAGGAAAGGAGGCAGGGGACACAGTCAGACGGGGATGCCGGTGACGGAGCAAGTAGCAAAGGCAGCCAAGATGGACGGATCAGCCGTGCAGGCCACTTCCTGATGATACCCTGATTCTCCTCTTCTCCAGAGGTGAACTGCTGGAGAAACTCTCTCTCTCTCTCTCTCTCTCTCTCTCTCACACACACTCACACACACACACACACACACACACACACACACACACACACACATCTCAGAAGACTCTGGCCCCCTCTCTCTCTCTCTGCAGCACAGCAATCAGGCCGAGGGCAAGATCCAAGGCGACCCAAGATGTGCTGAGCCACCGTCTCTGAAACCTCCCTTCAAACTAGAACTGAAATAAGCCAGTGGCTGTGAAGGGGCTGATACAGAGCACAAAGCGTCTGCTCTTTGGAAGACACCCTTCCATTCACTTTTTCCCTCCCTCGCACCAACTAGGGTGGCCAAAGGTCCTGACTCCCCTCCTCACATGCATCATTTCCACGTCTTCCAGCAGAGGAAAACCTCACCTCTTTCTTCATCCTGCCCCTCCAGCAACTCCACAGGCCCCTCTCGTGACTTGAATCCAAGCCTAGACTGCTTCCCAGCAACCAGACAGGGATTAAATAGTACCCCCCCGGGGGTCGAAACGGCCACTTCCCCAAGGAGCACACTGTACTTCCTCCTAAATTCTCCTGGCAAAAAGGGGTCCCTCTTCATAACATATATGGGAAGGACTAGAATGTGATATTTGTCTAGTAGGACACAGTCTGCCAGATCGGTGTTAGGTAGGTGAAGGAGGATGGTCGCAAGAGCTGGACCCTAAAGAAGGCTGACCGCCGAAGAACTGATGCTTTTGAATTGTGGTGCTGGAGGAGACTCTTGAGAGTCCCCTGGACTGCAAGGAGAACAAACCTATCCATTCTGAAGGAAATCAACCCAGAGTGCTCACTGGAAGGACAGATCCTGAAGTGGAGGCTCTAATCCTTTGGCCACCTCATGAGAAGAGAAGACTCCCTGGAAAAGACCCTGATGTTGAGAAAGAGGGAAGGCAAGAGGAGAAGGGGACGACAGAGGACGAGATGGCTGGACAGGGTCATCGAAGCGACCAGCATGAATTTGACCCAACTCCGCGAGGCACTGGAAGACAGGAGGGCCTGGCGTGCTCTGGTCCATGGGGTCACGAAGGGTCAGACACGACTTAACGACTAAACAGCAACAGGGTCAAAGATGTGATCATGTTAGGATGTGAAATGAGACAGACCGGTTAGAATACGTATGTCTGTTGAAATGTTTAAGAATGATATACTAGCAGAACTAAGTCAACTAAAGGTTTATGTCCCGCATCCTTCTGTCTAAGTGCTGCGGGTTTGTTCTATTCTACATGTGTTTCAAACAGTAGAAGTTCTTTAATGATTTTTAAAGAAGGCTGAGTGATCGTTTTATTTACTTTCAACAGCCAGCACCCACAGACACACAAGAGAATACAACTGTTACTCTGCGACAGTGGCTTTTTTTTAAATGGTTTCTGTTTGTGCAGAAACTCTTTGTCAAGTTAAATTTTATATTCTTTTAAAACCAGGACAAGAGAAGGGTTATGAGAGACCAGGTCATCAAAAGGAACAGGTAGCAGCAGGTGATGAGAAAGCTTTCTCTTCCTGTGACCCTGAAGAACAGGTGGAAAGAGACAGTCCACACAGGTACAAACCTGGTTGCTGCTCCCCCCAATGGGCCCATCACAGCTAAAGAGACCATGGCCAGCTTTTCGCTATACTGGTGCCTCTGTGCACAGGGACTCACCATATTCGGCTGCCATCCTTCAACGTTGACACAGCGATCAATACACCACCAGAAATCATCCTCGGATTCTCCCTTCCAAGCAAAGACGGGGAAGCCTGCGGAGAAGATGGGGAGAGAGCGTACGTCAAACAAGAGCAGGTAAGATTATAGCACGGCCTGCTATGCACACACAAGGGATCACAACTTTTATGGGTTGGGAGTTGGAAAGCATTGACAGTCACCCTCGTTTCAGAAGCGCGGTCAACAAGGGCAAACTAAAATCCTCTCTTGGCACACAGGGAGGAAGTCATTATTTTTCCCTTTTAGTTTTTGCTCTTGTCTTGACAACTCAAGATGCCTGCTTCAGATGCCACTGAAACAGCACAGGAGAGGCCTTAGCGGCTCTGATAATGGCCGTGGAAAGGAACCCTAGGGGAGCCAGTGACCCACACGGCATCTTCTTTGGTGGTTTAGTGCAAGATCAGACCCTGAAGCAGCAGCTCTGGCAACTGAACTGGGGCAATCTGTGGGCTTGACAAGGAAGTTCAGAGATTTGAGTGCCATCTTTAGTCTGTAGTCAAATTGCTGAAAGGCCATCGGGTCCTACCACAGCCAGGAGGGAGGGTGCTGTTGCTCCCATGCCCTAGAAGGGGAGCGTTCCAGAAGCAACTGTCTGGGTGCCGTATGAATACCATATTTTTTCTGTGTATAAGACACCCCCACTTTTCTAATCCAAAATTAAGAAATCTAAGTGGGGATTAGCAAGTGTAGGGGGAGAGGGATCAAAGCGCTGCAGGATCGCTTTGATCCCTGCTTTCCCCTCCACTTGGTTTTGTTCTCTCCTCAACTTACTTCCATGTATAAGGCGACCCTCAATTTTTAGTCTAAAAATTTTAGACAAAATATAGTCTTATACACGGAAAAATACGGTACATGCCTGGGCTTTTGGCATGATCCATGATTTAGCTCTGCTAAAGTTCTACAACAAGAGACCCGCCACCAGCCACGTCAAGCCTCACAGCAATGTGCCACCACCCTAAGAATGTTGGTTGTGGAAAAGTGCCAAGTAAAAAGAAAGGATGATGACCATACCACCTGCAGGCAAGAGGAGGAACACTTACAGAAAAAAAATTGAGGAGGCGCTCCCTATCATAAACCCTTTCTCAGTTACACCCTAATGTGTATTTTATAGGGAGAAAAAATGCACACTGCCCAGTGTCTTGTGTCTGTTTCAATTCCAGAGGCTTCACAAGAACGAAAAGGAGGCAAACCATGGGGAGGGACTGCGTTCCAGTGAGCGGCCAGTGCCTAGCAGCACCTGTATGAACGTACACCATCCTTCACCATTTAGGTTTGGGACCTTAGAAGTCACACCTCCTCCGTCCCTTCTCTGTACAGCCTCACACTTCCCCCTCCAGCCAGATCCGGCTGCCCCGTTGGCATTTGACGGAACCGTGGCCAGAATCGGGAAGACTGCCAAATCCTTACCGCTCTCAGCCAGGGCCGCTGCCACTTCGTTGAGGGTGGAGTAGATGTTGCAGGCGGCCCACCGGCACTGAGCACCCAAGGCACAGAGGGTTTCCATGAGAACCTGTAAAAGGAGGAGCGTCAGGAGTTAACCAGCCGGGCCTGGGATGGTCAGGGTTACCTCTGTGTTCATACACAATACAACAGTCACATCTCGTCATCTATGGACAGTAAAACATTTATTTTATCATATGCCATAAGGGCACATCTCTGGGCATATTTTAAGTTTTAGTAGCACATTTTAAACAGCTACTGCTTCTTCAAGCCAAAACGAGAAGGGACTGGAAAAGGAAACTGGCTTTTAAATCACTTCTGGCCAGTAGCAGAAACGCCCTCCCCAAGGAAGGAACCCTGAATCTGGCTGCTTGGCTTCTCCTTCATTCTCATTGGCTGAAACCATGCCCTCTCACTTTATACGCCTAGAAAACCTCACCGGCTGCCCCCAATTATACCTATCACTACCAAAATGTGTGAACAGCTGGAGCCACACCTGCCCCCCCAAACTCCGTCAGCTATCACAGAAACCTTAATTTACTCGTTTTTTGAAAAGCCTAGTCTGGTTTTCCCAAAGCAGAACACAGACTCCAAAGGCTGGATTCTAGGAGGTGTCAAGAAACTATTAAGTGTCAGATTATCTCGGCCATCTTTCTTCTTTCTGGGCCATAAAACGAAAGTTATATATTTAATGCAGGATGTGATACTAGAGTGAGCCTTAGGTTCTGGTGGCCAACAGCTGGAAAAGAAGAAAGGGTGGGTGGAGGCAGGCAGGCAGGCTTACAGCGGTCTGGGCTGTGATGTGCGTACAACCCACAATCTTGGCTCCAGCCAGTGGCTTCTCTCCCTGAGCTCGTTTCCTCAAGGCCATGAGCGCAGGCATTTCTAGGAAGGAAGAGAAAATAAGTCACACCAAAATGGGCTCTGGAGGAGCAAAGCCCAAAAAACCAAATGAAGATCCATTTGAGAACGGGAGGTTTCCTAGTATCACATTCAGCAGCCAATCCCTCCTTGTTTGCCCAAATCCACCATTTTAGAATGTACCTCACCACAACAATATGCAGTCCTCCCATCATCATCATCATCATCATCATCATCATCATCATCATCATCATCATCATCATCATCATCATCATCATCATCATCATCATCATCTACACTGTACTGTGGTCTCCTATTTATTTTATACTGCCTCGTGGCCTAGTGGTTAAAACTACTCTATTGCAGCCAAAACTGGGTCCAGGACCCAGGGTTTTATATCCCACGTGGCCGGCTCAAGGCTGACCCAGCCTTCTATTCTTCCGAGTTCCGTAAAATGAGGACCCATTTCTCACATGCATGTGTATATCTGTGAAATGTGTAGCCTGCATAATTAACTTGTAAACCGCCCAGAGATTGCTTCAGGCACGATCAGGCAGTATATGAGCAGCAGGCTTTGCTTTTGCATTGTGTCTTACGTTCAATACTCTGTACCATTCATTTCATGAGCCACAAAGCAGGAATGATCCTGGAAAACATGCTGGAGCAAGAGAAGCATTCAATATTTTATAAAGTATCCCACAAGTAGCAATTATATGTACACCTAGAGATCTCCAGAATTCCAGGGATTTATGCATCCCTGGAATTCAACCCTTTCTCTTTTCCAGGCCATTTTCTCAGAGATGCGCCATCTCCTATTTTATAAAAGTAAACCAAGGGACTCTGGAAAAATCCTGGAAAAATCCTGTCTCAGCATCTGCTGAGGGCGCAAGGTCAGGATGAGTGTGAGGGGAATGCCCGGCAGAAGTACTTAAACAGCTCTCGTTCTCTCTGCGGAGGGGGGGGTGTTACCTTGTTCGGCAATTTCAATTTCCCGACGCCCAAATTCAGCCTGTTTGATGTTTTTCACGCAGAAATCACTGCTGCCTTTAGAGTTCTTCTGCTGCTTGTCCCGGGGGGAGGTCTCATCGTCGGAACTGTCTGTGTAGGAGGCCGCTGGGAGAAAGAAGAGACGGAAAGGACCATGAGACCGGCCGCCGCAGAAACCCTGGCAAACAGCAGATGAGAACACCATATGGGAAAGGGGGGGGGAGATCCAAATAAGCAAATTGGGGATGATGCAACTCCTGACCAAAAGGTGTAAAGATGGGTGGCAAGACTTCTAGACGCCCAGTACGAGATGATTCAGTTCTTGCCAGCACAGCTGACCTTGAGAAATTTGGTGTCGATGGGAAGTTCGCGGCAGGCAATTACAGGGCACTGCCCCTGGTTCTGAGGTCCACAAGAGGACTCTTCGTCCAAAAGCTTGTGTGGGAATCATACACAGCTGGGCTGGATTTTCCAACAACAGCTGTCAAGGGCCCCTCTCCCCCACAAGCTTTTAATACTGAGTAATCTGGAGCAAATCATGACTGCAACAGCACCCCACCCTGCCAGGTAAATTGTAAAGCCCACCTGACTTTTCAAAGTACTCTTAATCACCCCTGCCCCCCAAAGGACAGGATCTTCCAAAAGAGTTCCTTCACTGCTGAGCTGGTTTTTTTACAAATGAAATGCAAAGCCAGATGCAAATCTCCATGTTTCATTTAGCAACTTCCACACAGATGATGTGGAGCTGACCACAAACGGAGACATAAAAGGGCCTTATCCTACAACAGACTGTGTTCAAGCTTTTGGTGATTTGCATGTTATTTATTTATAGGCTGCTTTTCTTCCCCTGGGGACTCAAAGTGGCTCACAGCAAACCAAAGAAAAGAGTAGAGATTTCTACTTTGTGGTATGCCGGAAAGTGGACTGGTACAAAAGTGAGCAGGTGCTCTTACAATTTTTTAGATTAGGCATCCTTCAGTCTCGAGAGACTAGGGTAACATGCTGTGAATAGAGGACTTGGAACAGCGTCTAGTGTGGCCGAGGAGGCCAATTCGAGAGTGACCATCCCTTTCACACTGAAGACACATACAATCTGTCCCCTGTCCAGCTCCCTGATTTTGCTGGTTTCAGGACTGCCTCTTTGCCTTGGCCTGCTGGACAAGGGTCTCTTCGAATTGGGAGAGGCCGTGATGCACCGCCTGCCTCCAGGCTGAACGCTCAGATGTCAGGGTTTCCCATCTGTTGAGGTCCATTCCTAAGGCCTTCAGATCCCGCTTGCAGATTTTTTTTGTATTGCAGCTGTGGTCTCCCTCTGGGCTGCTTTCCCTGCACTAATTCTCCATACAAGAGATCTTTCGGAATCTGACCGTCAGCCATTCTCACGACATGCCCGAGCCAACGTAGATATCTCTGTTTCAGTAATGTATACATGCTAAAGATTCCAGCTTGTTCTAGGTGAGTCTGGAGAACATGGTAGCTGTTCTTATGACCTTACTGCAAAAAGGAATCAAGTTGACCAGTTTACTAGGACTGGAAATCAAGTTAGAATTTCTGAATCACTGATATCTGGATGCAAGTAACGAACTTGCTTGGCAGAAGGTTTTCTCTCTCCTTCCTTTAATGAAGATCCTACTGATAAGCTCAGGTTATTCCCCTAAATTACACCTCTGCCCCCACCTTAGTGCCGTGCAGCCAACTCTTTTCGTGATGCCTCATGCGCAATGTTTTCCCCATGTCTCTTCTTACTCACTTGGTTCCACCTGCCTACTCCGAGGTCTACCTCGCATCATGTCTGGTTCTGACCAGGTTGACAACTGAGACACCTCGGGTATTTCGTCATCGTAGGAATCGCACGAGAAGACTCTTGGGACATCCATCTTATCTGGATGGAAGACTCTCGCTTAGGAGAGAAGGCTCATTCAGGCACACACGGAGAGAGACGAAAAGCAAAAAAAAGTGTGCGGCTTATACAGATTTGCAACTCATTTTCCCAGGTTGCCATGTGGTGGATGATCGACCAAAGTCATGCCTGGGGGTGAGAGATGAGTCATAAATGGCTATTGTGATCTGAGGTTCCAAGGACAGGATGGAACCAAGCACTGCGCAGGCTTCTGCTCTCAAGACATATGAGTTTTCCGTATGTAAGCAGAGATCAAGCACGTGATCCCAGAAAGGGTCTTCCAACACCTGCAGATGCATCCCTCACTTTTTGTGGAGTTTCCCAGTTCCAAACCACATTATGTTGTTATCTGAACTCTGGGAAGCAGGTCCTGATACACACGTTCCCTTTAGCTGCCCTCAGTCCAAACAGTGCAAATGCCAATATTACAATTATTCAACTCAACCCACAAACGCAACAGCAGCCTCGTTAGATCAGACTAAAAGTCCAGCTAGGTCAGGATTTTGTTTCCAACAGACAGGAAGACAGTTCAACGTTTCCAGGTTGGCTCTGAAGGCCTCCCGAAGCGCTGCTCCTCAGCCCGATGCTCAGGGGAAAAAATCTGCTTTTAGTTCAACACAAGAGCGGTTCAATTTCCCGATATATCTGGAAAAAGTTCCACCCTGAAAACAAGACTGGGGATGAGTGATACGTACCAGAGCTGTAGCTGTCTGTGGATGACTGAGAGATGGACCGTGACAACGAACGGCGACCAATCTTTGTGGGGCGTTTGTTGAATTCTTGCTTTTGGTCAGCAAACTGGATCTGCCAAGAGATAAACCAAGATTTAGGAAAACCAAGGAGAAGAAAAAGACAAACGTGCCAATTCTGGTGATCAGGGAACAGCCACTGCTTCTACTGGCATTTCAGGCTAGATGCCAATTACTTCACTAGGATCCTCGTTTCACAGGCCATGCATTTTATTACTACATAACTTGTTTTAAAGAACGAGTTCTTTTTTTGTCTTGAGCAGAGACACAAAGGCCCAGGAAAAAGCCCCCAATTAGTTCTGGACCCCTTATTTTTTCAGTCCCTCCTATCTCCAAGCATGGAAGGCTCCGCTTTTTTTTGGTAATAAGCAATACACAACATAGAATCATAGAATAATTGAGCTAGAAGGGGCCTCTAAGGCCACTGAGTGCAGGAATTGAAATCAAAGCAGATTTGGCAGAGGGTTCTCCAATTTTCTCTTGAATGCCTCCAGCGTTGAATCACTCCCCACTCCCCAAAGGCATAGGTTCCATTGTTGTACTGCTCTAACAATAAGGAATTTTTTCCCCTCATATTCAGCTGAAATCTGGCTTCCTGTAGCTTGAGACCATGATTACGTGTTATTAACCCATTACTATCTCCTTGTCGCAACTATCTCCTCTTTCCTGTTTACCCAAACTCACTCACAGTTGTTCCATAATATTTGCTTCACCCACTACTTACAGAAATCATTTCCCATAGAGTATCTCCCTTGGCCCTGGTGGGAAGGAGGACACTGAGTGTATGTATGTTTTTTTTTAGTTTTGCTTGCTTCACCCACCACTTACAGAAATTATTTCCCATAGAGTATCTCCCTTGGCCCCGGTGGGAAGGAGGACACTGAGTGCATGTATGTTTTTTTTAGTTTTGCTTAATATGTACAATAACTATGAAATTAAAAAGAAAAAGAAAAATGGGCATATTTCCCGTGATCACAAACTATTTTAGGGGCCCCAAGGCAGAACTATTAAGGTGCCAGGCATCCAGGTAAATCTCGCACCTGCACCAACCTTTTTTCTCTCCTTTTTTGCCCAGGGCACCGACTTCCACATTCAGACTCATGGGCTATAAAAACTAGGTTCTATCATCCAGAGACCTTTGAAAGTATTTTTTTCCACATTTTGCTCGCAGGAAACTTGGGAAGGGGCTGACTTCATTCATTGACTTAGAAAAAGGAGGAGAGAAACAGAACCCACTCTTCCAGACAAGTGGGGAAAAGAAGCTATGCTGCCGTATCCCAAAGGGAACTTCTACAGGTGGAGGAGAAGCTATGGCCGCCTCCGGCTTCCCGATGACCCTGTGAAGTCGGGGTCATGCTGAGAAAGATTCCAAGGGAGTTTCGTGGCTGAACGGAGATTTGAACCCAGGAGTTTTCCAATTCCAGTCCAACACTCTAGCGACTGCACGCCACGCTACTTGCGGCACAAAAAACAGGCAGACCGAGGGACCTGACTCTTAACCATCCTTCCGGCTAAGAAGGCGAACTGCCAATATCCCCTTCCTCTATACTTTAGTTATTTCATTGAGACTGTGTGTCCTTCCACCCAAAAAGGGTCTCAGGGCGGTCAGTCCAGCAGCTCCCACGGTGTGGCTGCAGCCACCGAAAGGGCACACTCTCTCGTACACCATCAGCCTTCCTTCCACCTTAGGCAGGATGTATACAGAGAAAAGCCCTTCTCTCTGACCTCTGGCCGCAAGCTGGCTGGAACGGAGGAAGCGGCCTGTTCTGGAGGCCTCTGCGGTCTTCTCGTTGGGGACCCCCTGCCCACGGTCAAGTCAAAACCAGACCGGAGGAAATCTGCATGAAGCAGCGGATGGGGCTCTGCATTCGTAACGGACAGCAGCCTTGTACACATCCCGTGAGGAACTACGGAGGAAAGCCGTCCTCAGAGAGCCCCGACGGATTCCGCCATTGACAAGGCTTATTAGGGGCCAGGGAGACTCCCTGCCAATGGACCACGCTAAGCTGGATGACCTCACAGTCTGACTTGTATAAGGTGGAAAAAGAACTTTGAACAATGAAGCTCAGAAGTGCTTGCCCAGCTAATTCACTTGGCTGCAGGGCAAACAGAGAGCCACGCTTAATATACCTCCGGAGTTTGAGAGATACCTGCCAGGACAGCCACATGGGATACGAAGCAGCAGCCTCTCTGATGGGTACCGTAAAGTCTCCTGCCCTCTACCACCCGAGCAGGGATGTTCATTCCTTAGCGAGACACAGGAATCCGCTGGAAGTTTTAAAACGCGAATCAGGTGGGGAACGGTTTTAGCTCAATGCAATGCGAAGAGGGCCTCCAAAACACAAGCATAGACACACACAGAACAACTTATGACCCTGGAACAGAACAACTTATGACCCTTATGCAAACCATCTAACCCTGTGAACATTTGACGCTGGGCAATTTATTTGCCAGGAAAACAACCCATTTCTCACCCCAGGGCCTGCCTCACACTTTATGGGACACCCAGATCTCTTAAGAGGACGATTCTACCCATTTTCTGTCCACCTGCAGAGCCGAAGAAAACAATTTGCTAGGCAAAGGGTCCAGTTTCTATGGATCAGGTCTCTCCAACGGCCACCGGGCCACCCACCCAAAAGCACACACACTTCGGTGAAGGCTGAGAGGAGGCAGGAGTACAGGCTTCCTCCCCCCCTCGCTTTCAACCAGAGGCTCTAGCTGCGTCCAGAAAGACACAGGGAAGACCGGCCGGCAGGATCACGCTCTCTGCTTCTAGAAGGAACGGAAAGGCTTCCCTCACCTGGGTTTTAATCCCCGAGCTGCCGTTGACAACGTACTTCTTGTGGTTCGGCATGGCCCTGCTCTCTAAAGCTGGCTCGCCCGGCCCGGTCAGTGGGCCATGCTTTTAGACCTTGCTTGCGGCGAGCGGCCAGCCGGCAATGTCTGCTCTGCTCTGGTTTCAGCTCTTTTGCTCAGGGAGGGAAGATGGGGTAGCGGTGGGAGGGGTGGAAGGTTGCAGGAGGTAAAGAGGACTCCTTCTGCATGGCTGGCGCTCAGCAGCTCTCCTCTCTGGTCCAGGGCACCGTTTAGAAGACAAAGAACCCCAAACTTTAATGAAGCACGCCTGCTGGTCCCTGGAGAACAAAGTTTCCCTGCCTCCTCCGCCCAGTTTTTTCCCTTCTCTCTTCTTCTTCCTTAATGTCCTCTTCACCTGCCAAATCCTTTAACCCTAGTCACTGTGTCATGGCCGGCCTGCATAACAGCTTATTTACATAACCAGTACATTTCTTGCCTGCTATAATTAACTTGTTAATTAGGCACCTTTCAACTTGGTCCTCTTCCCCTCCCCCCAGTCTCCCTTTTCTCAGGGTCAGATTATGTTTAAACACAGAGGCCAGTTGGGACAAAGTTAAATAACCAGCGTGTGAAACAATGAAGGCATTTATTGCCCTGCCGGGTGGTTCCTCCTCTGTATTAAAACATTAGGGCCCTTGCAAGCGAATTCAGTATCCTTTGGGAGGGTCTGGTGCTGTTCCAGAATAGTGTAATTCAAGGAACCTGCAGGAGACAACACACCTGTACGGCTATTTCTGTCCCGTTCTGGCACCTCCTTGAAGAGAAGGAAGGAATGAGGAACGGCGGCTTTGTTACACCCCTTCCAGACGGAGACAAAGGAAGTGTGCGTGTCCCTTCTAAGGGACCCAGGCCCTCGCCCCACCAACACAGTCTACCGAGAAGGCTCAACACCGCAACTCAAGTAGGGATAAGAGGACCACCACCACAAACGGAACACTTGCATCTTCTATAATATCTCCAGCTTTGGTGGTTGAAAGATTGCCAGCAAATGGTACTGCCACAACCAGAGAGCTCCCGGGCACCCCCGGAGCCGTCAGAAAGTTAAAAAACTTGTTCGTAGGGAGCCTTAACTCCTGATCAAGCACTGATCTTCCAATAAGCAAACTGCTACCAGTTGCGGACAGAGAAACCATACAAAACAAACATCACAGATAATGCAGTATGATGTTGGAGAGATGTAATTCAGGCAGACCTGAAAGGAATCCCGATGCCTAAATTCTGAAGACTAGACGCAAAGCCAAGCAAGCTAACCTCTAGTAAGCGAGAGAAGTTCCTGCATTTAATCAGCCTTGAAGGATTTTTCTCCTCTATGGTTCATGCTTGTTTTTACACTAAGATTTGGATGAGCTGGGTTCAAAAGGCATTTCAGGAACTTGATCGCCTTCATTTTCTACCTGTAAAAAGTGTCTGACATCAATGAATTGCTGTCACCAGGGAAAAAAACTCAGGAAGCATGTGAACTAAGCATCCTGCATGGAGCGTACATACCAAGTAGCATTGACAAGCAACTCACCCCTATGAGACAATCACACACACCCCAAAACCCTTCTTTGCTGGCCCCTGGAGCTCAAAATAATATTAAACCTTTCGTTGAACATTTTACATATTGGGAAGACAGTCACTTAGATACACTTTTTATTCCTGTCTCAGATACATCCTTGGAAAGGCAGGTATCTGCCACTAGCTTCCCTTCATAATTATATAGGTAAAGGGAAAGGTTCCCCTGACATTCAGTCTAGTCGTGTCCGACTCTAGGGTGCGGTGTTCATCCCCGTTTCCAAGCCGTAGAGCCAGCGTTTGTCCATAGACTCGTGGTCACGTGGCCAGCGCGACTAGACATGGAATGCCGTGACCTTCCCACCGAGGTGGTACCTATTTATCTACTCGCATTTTTACATGCTTCCGAATGGCTAGGTTGGCAGGAGCTGTGACGAGAGACGGGAGCTCACTCCCTTGCATGGATTCAATCTTATGACGGCTGGTCTTCTGACCCTGCAGCACAGAGGCTTCTGCGGTTTAACCCCCAGCGCCACCACCTCATAATTATATAGGCATGAAATCAGCTTTAAAATGAGCAACGTTCTCAGAACATTATGGGCTATGTCCAATACCTCGTTTTATGCCTGTGAAGAACACTAGGCATATCTGCTTCATCACATGAACCACTTGTCTATCCTAGTCTCACATTTCTCAGAGCAGCCCACCAGAAGCAACCTAAGAGCTTCAGCTAGGACAAATTAAAAAAAGGCAGACTACAGCCCATGAAAGCCACACTAAAATAAATCTGTTAGCCTTACTTCAGTTTAGGTCTTGGGACACATGAGGGGACAGACATAAATACACGTCTCAAAAAATCCAAAGGAGAGCTGCTTTTGGGGAGGTCTAAACTAGAAGTAAACGAAATTCCAGACTAGGAGGGTGCAGAGAGACAGCTATATTCAAGTTCTACATGAAGACCACAGCCCATAATCGATCTAAATCAATTCAGGACAAGAATATTCAGGACCAGGTCTAATTTGCCCAGATAACTCTTGCGCAGAGTCACTTCTTGCATAAGGACGAAGGGACTTGACCAACACAAACAGATAAAAGTTCGTGGCGTACAAACAGTACAAAGTCACAAGTCAGTTGGCCTGCCCCCAGTATAAGATCCTCTCTCTTGGAGCGTGCCGCTCAGTAATGAAAGGGAAGGAAGCTGGGCTATCTACTATTACTAGAAAGTGAAATTCCAGCCCACGAAAACAGCCGACTGAAAGGGCCACAAGATTGAAAATGGCGAATATCTGCTCCGATGTGGTGTTGTATCGAAGAGTTCTTCTGATGTCCCTCGTCCTGTCCTTTGGTGGAACCTTCCTTTTTGGATTCCAAGTGGCTGTGATCAACTTTACCGCACCGTACATCAAGAAGCTCATCAACGACACGTTCCTAGAGAGATTCGATGCTCCTGTGGATGAGCAGACCCTCACCTTCCTCTGGTCTTTCATTGTGTCCGCCTTCAGCATTGGAGGATTGATAGGAAGCTGCTTGTCGGGCTATTTGTCTACCAAATATGGGAAGAAGAAATGTCTGATATTCAGTAGCTTACTCATGTTAGTTGCGGCAGTGATGAGTGCCACCAGTAAAACAGCAAAGTCTTTCGAAATGATTCTGGTCGGACGTCTTCTGTACGGCTTCAGTACGGGTTTAGGCACGTGCGTCCAAGGTCAGTACGTGTCAGAAATTTCCCCTAAGCACCGGCGCGGTGCCATCAATGTCACTCTTGCAATTTTTGTAAATGTGGGGAAATTCCTAGGGCAACTGACAGGACAAAAGGAACTTTTAGGAACTGAATCTCTCTGGCCTCTCCTGCTGGCCATCAGTGGAGCATTAGGTTTGGTGATGCTGGCCACCATTCCCTTCTTCCCCGAATCTCCACCTCACCTTTTGACACAGAAGGGCGATTTAGAAGGCTGTTTGAAAGCTATGAGGCAGCTCTGGGGCGAAGGGAATCACAAGGAAGAAGTGGATGATATGCGGAAAGAACAGGCCACCATGGCAAAAGTCAAAATCATGAATGTGCTGCAGCTCTTAAGAGACACCTCCATGCGACGCCAGGTATACTTGCTGGTCACAGTATCGTGCGCTTTATCGTTAAGTGGAATCAACGCCATCTACTTCTATGCTTCTGATGTGTTTAGCGCTGCCGGATTTCATCAAGAACTCATCTCCTATGTGACCCTTGGGGTTGGAGCCTGCGAGCTTTTCTCCACCTTTTCTTGCCTCTACATGATAGAGCATTTCGGCAGACGAAAACTAATGCTGTGGGGATACGGTCTAATGATCCTGGTCTTGGCATTCTTAACGACAACTTTCTCCCTTCAAGATCGAGCCTTCTGGATCCCATATTGCAACACCGTCCTTGTCTTCCTCTTTATTACGATTTATGCCATGGCGCCAGCCGGATCCACGTTCCCCCTCATTGCTGAACTATTCACACAGACATCCAGGCCGGCTGCGTTTGTCATCACCATGGTCCTCCACTGGGTGGGAACCTATTTAATTGGGATGGTTTTTCCATATCTAGTACTCTATCTGGACACCTTCTGCTTCCTGGTTTTTATGGGCTTCATTGCAATCGCGTGGATTGTTATCTTCTGGTTGCTTCCAGAGACAAAAGGCAAGTCACTCATAGAGATCCAAGGTGAGTTCCATCATTTACAAACGAAAAAGAAAGAGGCTGCCAAGGCTAAGCGTTTGCCCGAGGATGCCTCCCTGTGCACAAAACTCTAGAAGGTGGGAAGAAAGGGACAAATACGACAGACTGAGAATGGATCATCGCAACTGGGGGTTGATGTGACTGCTCTCCGAAAGAGGTGAATCTTGATGAAGCCTCTTAGAACAGAGTTTCACACAAGAAAAATGATCCAAACCACCCCTCCTCGGGCTGTGCCAGTCGAAATGCGGGTCAGAGGTTTCCCTGTCTCCATACCTCCCCCCCCCATGCAAAGTGACAATCGCCATACGTACGGAAATAAACCTTGGTGAGAGAACTAAAGTAGAACCCATCTCTCTGATAAAAATCTCTGCATTCACGCTGGACACACCTTTCAGAAGTGTTACTGCACCAGGCAGTCTGAAAGATATCACTCTTCCCACTGCGTGAACATTATCTTTAATCTAGGTCTATGCCAGACAAAGGCTGGAAAGCTTTTCCTTGAAAAAGACACAGGATGCCTCCTGAGCTCCCTGCACGTCAGTCCTTGAGGCCAAGAATATATTTATTGCCCACAGGAGGTCATGGAAGCAGTGCCCCCCCCAACCTTGAGCCTCCAGATGTTCTTGGACTTCAACTCCCAGAAATCCTGGCCAGCAGAGGTGGTGGCGAAGGCTTCTGGGAGTTGTCGTTCAATAACATCTGGAGGCCCAACGTTGAGGACCACTGGCCTAGGGGTTTCCATCTATGGGTATGCCATTTAAAATTATCATTTTTAAAAACAAATCTGCTGTATCTGTGGTCATTATTATTATTATGACCTTGTACAATTAAATGGAAGCTGTGGGCAAAGAGAACAAGGGATGTATTTTTTAGTACAACAGTGCCATTCTAGCATTCTTACACACACACACACAGAGAGAGAGAGAGAGAGAGCAACTCCTCTGGCACTCAGCAACTCTTCACAGTGTAAGGCAGAGAAAGGTCTCTTCAAATCTTACTGGCCAAGACTTCTTTTTATTGGGAATACCCAAAAATGAACAATCTTACAGTCATGGGCTCACCCAATGGATGTCTCCTCTCTCTCTCTCTCTGTTGCACTACTTACTACAAAACTTGAGATTCCCCCACATACACTACTATCTCTTCTTGCATATGGATGATGTTACTTTGGCTACACAAAGATCCACATTCTGGTATGAATTCTGGAAACGGAAAGAAGGAAAAAGCTGAAATGGAAACCCGCAAACGCCGACCCAAGCCAGGCTCCTAAACAAACAGCCACAACTCCACAGAGCACAGAGAGGGGGTTTGTTCTCTACAAAATGCTCCATGTGGAGACATGAGTGGGGTAACCCAGAACCCTTATACAGCCCCAAAGGGCCGGGAGGAAATGACAAACCATTTGGCTGTAAAAGGCATACGGGGCGAGGTTAACAAGGCCTCATCACTAAAGTCCAATCTTCAGCTTCTCTTTAAGGACAAAATATTATGGGAAAGGCATAACTAATCTGCCATTCCCTTCGACGTCCTGGAGGAGGCTGAAAAGCCGGTCGTACATATTAAGCAGCCAGGCCCAAGCCATGACTACCGCCCCCCCCCCAGAAAGGTCAATTCCATCATCACAATCCTCACTCCTAGGCCTCATCATTAAAGTCCAATCTTCAGCTTCTCTTTAAGGACAAAATATTATGGGAAAGGCATAACTAATCTGCCATTCCCTTCGATGTCCTGGAGGAGGCTGAAAAGCCGGTCATACATATTATGCAGCCAGGCCCAAGCCATGACTACCCCCCCCACCCGAGAAGGCTCAATTCCATCATCACAATCCTCACTCCTGTATTAGAACTAGTTTAATGGAGCTGGTCAGAGACCGAATAAAGAGGAGGAGAACTAATTAGAGTTAAATAAACACAGTATGGACAGGTAACATTTATGACTGCATATTAAATGAAATATTATTTTAATATCCACCTACCCTAATTTTAACATATTGGTGCAATACTCTAGACAAGATTATGATTAACTAACATAAGAATACAGTGAAAAAATTATGAATGAGCTGTAGAATTAGGGATACATTCATTTATTTATCTGGTGTTGTCCTACCCAGGAAATTATAATGGTGTAACTGTGGTTCTTTTAATGTTACACAACCCTTGAAGAAGGCTGATAGGCAGGAATGTGTTGAGCATTTTGTAAAGGAATAAAGAGCGTTCTATTTTCTACATCCTGGGACCGCTGTCTTCCCTTTCTTTGACCGACATGGGAAGCAGCCAGACCCCAAGCTATTCTCCATTTCAAGCGACTGCTAGTTTGCCGCTGGAACTTTGTTGGCGTACGGTTGCAAGGTCTAAACATCAGTTCCACTTCTCACCCTAATGGCTGCTCTGTGAAGATCTCAGCAGCCATTCTGACCCTGTTCAAGGAGGTTCAGAGTGAATTTGCAGCTATACTCACTAAAGCTTCCCCCTAACTTTCCTCTATATGACCAGCTACGCAACGGCACAATGCACAGAGAATAGTAACAAGCATGTAAGATGAAACATGCAACGGATACCAGAGACCTAGCCAGAGGAATAGAATTACTATTGGAAATAGACATGGGACAAGGTGGCATACCAGACGACTCATATAAATCAATTCAGAATCTTGCAAACATTTGGGGCTCCCACATCTCCCCCCACTGCAGGACACAAGAATCCTGATAACAAAGAGGCCAGAGTTGGGCCAGGTCTTGGCTGTCCTTCTGCAAGCAAACGAAGAAGACCTTTCCCTTTTAAAATGATCTGTTCTGCCTTGTTGCTTTTAAATGTTTTTTTTGTGCTGGTTTTATTTACCATTTTGATATATTTGTTAAATTTTTTAAAATATCTGTACACTGTTTTTTGGTTTTTAAATATTGTCTTTTCAATTACGCAAGTTACCTTGGGTCCTTTTTAAAGGGAACAGGTGGGGTAAAATATCTGAAAGAAAGAAAGAAAGAAAGAAAGAAAGAAAGAAAGAAAGAAAGAAAGAAAGAAAGAAAGAAAGAAAGAAAGAAAGAAAGAAAGAAAGAAAGAAAGAAAGAAAGAAAGAAAGAAAGAAAGAAAGAAAGTCCAGTTAAGTTGTAGCAGTCTTAGCAACTACTGTATAAGATTACAGCATGATCTTTCATGGGTTACAATCCATTCTCAGATGCAGACAGTACAACATTTGGGGATCAGAATGGAACAGAATGCAGAAAATGACAGCAGTATTACTTAACTGATTAGGCATCCTTCAGTTTGGAGAGACGAGGCTAACGTGCTCTGTATGGAGGACTTGGAACCGCGTCTAGTGTGGCTGAGAAGGCCAATTCGAGAGTGACCATCCCTTCCACACTTAACACGCTGCTAATAAAGTTATGAAAGGATGGCTAGTACAGACAAAGCAATAAGTTGACTCACATTCAGCAGCATCACGGCCTCTGAATCGCTAAAGCAATGAGTTCTGCTGTTGTGCTTGAAGGCTCCTACTTACTGACAAATACCAAGAGACGACCTGCACGGTGGAGGAACAGGGCGTCCATAGAGACCACCTTAACCATCCGCCATGTTGTTTCCAAAGTTTTGTTCTCAGGGTGGAAGTTTCTCTTTAATCTGACCCTCATTTAAGCTTGTGAACTTAACTGGTCAAGAAAAACATTTAATGTTAAGCGAGCAGGTTTGAAACATTAACCTTATTCGAAAAAAATACTTTTAATCCATATATTTGACACTTATTTTTACTTATTTTTCTGAACTTCTAAACCACCCATCAGACCAACTTGTTAGAAATGACAAAAATAATGACTGTACTGTGGAACGTGAGATTCCTATCACTTCCTTTCATTTCAAGATGGTGGCACCAAGTGAGGAAAGGGCCTTTGGGAGATTCAGAGGTCATGGGAAGGGAGTTGATGATGACCACAAACCGTTACTGGCTAGAAAACCAAGCAAGTTTGTCGGAATGCCTGCTTTTTAACCTTAAAAGCCTTCTTGAAAATTCTGCTCAATAGCAATGGACTTCCGTAGGAGAGATTCCTGGGAGATCGAGAGAGTATCCAAGCAAAGAGCCAACTCCTCACATACTTTTCCCTAAAGGACCCTCCAAAAAGTGTTTTGTCACAAGTGGGTGCTTCACTCACATACAAAGCAGCTCTCTGCCGAACGTGTGAATGGCCTCCAGGGACAAGGGGTCGGCTTCAGGTGAAAATGTCAAGATAAAATTGAACTTATTGTGATTTTAATTGCGTGAATTTTAATGTTGTGAGCCTCTTTGGGTCCTTTGTTGGAAGAAACGTGCATATAAATAAAAACTAAGACGAAGACGAGCTGGAATTTCCAGCATGAACACATTACTGAAACAGCGACGTCTACGTTGGCTCGGGCACGTCGTGAGAATGGCTGATGGTCGGATTCCAAAGGATCTCCTCTATGGAGAATTAGTGCAGGGAAAGCGCCCCAGATGGAGACCACAACTGCGATACAAGGACATCTGCAAGCGAGATCTGAAGGCCTTAGGAATAGACCTCAACAGATGGGAAAACCTGACATCTGAGCATTCAGCCTGGAGGCAGGCGGTGCATCACGGCCTCTCCCAATTTGAAGAGACCCTTGTCCAGCAGGCCGAGGCAAAGAGGAAGTCACAAAAGCAGCAAAACCAGGGAGCCGGACAGGGGACAGACTGGATTTGTCATCAGTGTGGAAGGGACTGTCACTCTCGAATTGGCCTTCTCAGCCACACTAGGCGCTGTTCCAAGCCCTCCATACAGAGCACGCTACCATAGTCTTTCGAGACTGGAGGATGCCTAACTAACCTAAAGACGAAGACGAAGATGAAGAAGAAGAAGAAGTCTCTCTTTCACTCATACACACATATCTGTAAGTTTCTCTTTCACTCATACACACATATCTGTAAGTTCTAATTTAAAGCTGAAAGGTGGAATCCAGGAACAAGGAGATGCCACTTGACCAGATTACAGTGGTGCCTCGCTAGATAGTTACCCCGCATGACAGTTTTTTCGCTAGACATTGACTTTTTGCGATCGCTATAGCGATTAGCAAAACAATGATTCCTATGGGGTAATTTCGCTGGACAATGTTGGGTCCCTGCTTCGCAAACCGATTTTCGCTAGACGACGATTGTGACAGCTTCCTCCACACTCGCAAAACAGGTGTTTTTGGGACCTAAGCTTCGCAAGACAGCGATTTAAACAGCTGATCGGCGGTTCACAAAGCTGCTTTCCTATGGCTGATCTTCGCTAGACAATGACGATTCTTCCCCATTGGAACGCATTAAACAGGTTTCATTGCATTCCAATGGGGAAATGCTTTTCGCTAGACAATGATTTTGCTAAACAGCGATTTCAGTGGAACGGATTATCATCGTCTAGCGAGGCACCACTGTATTTTGGAACAAATATTCACTAGGCAACTCCAGATAAAGACTGGGAAATACACACATTGTAAAGCCAACCAATGTCCCCAGCCAGCCCCCTCCTGCCCTAGCACAGGCTTCTGAATTCTGTTTTGCAGAACTACCGACACAGACACCCTTCTGTCCACCTTCAGCCCCAAAGAAAGGCTCTCCATGCTTCTACATTATCATCTGTTATAGCAATTGTACCACCGTTCAGCCAT